CTCATAGAATCCGAAAATAACCGACAAATCTACTCAATCACCAGCATATGCGATGTCCCGGTGAAAATAGAAAGGTTCCGTGGAGGGAACAGTCCAACTCAATGTTTCAAATGCCAAAACTTTGGTCACACTCAAAGAAATTGCTGTTCTCCTCCCAGATGTGTTAAATGTGCCGCGGGTCACCGATCCTATTTGTGCCATAAGGACATCAACATACCTCCAAAATGCTGTAACTGTGGGGAAGCACACACTGCTAACTACACGGGATGCAGCTTCCGTCCCCCTAGGAGGGGCCATCGTGTCACTCCAGCTATAGTTCCCACTTCAAAAGCAGGCAAAGCTCATAGACTGGTCTCAATTTTAAAAGAACTACAAGAACTATTAAAAGACAGAGAAGTTTTCCAACTACTGCAAACAATCATGTCCACTTCTGAACAATGTCTCCCTCTGACTTGTTTTCACTCAACATAGAACTCTATTCTACTGAACTTATGAACTGGTAAATTCAACACTAAATTTAATACTGCTTATTGCCTCGTTAGATAAGGAAACTAACTAGATAAGGAAGCTAGATAAGGAAACCACTAAGAAAATGCAAAACTTATGCTAAAACTTCATGATTTTGTTTCATTTCACATTTGTCTTACAAATCACGTAATTCTAACTCAATTCAATGCTAAAATATCAATTGTATTTGTATATAGCTTGATTCTATTCATATCTATATCACAACTTATGACTGAATCAAATTTAAACTCCATTCAATGCTAAAATTTCAATTGTACTTGTTTATATTTTAAATTAATTCACTTTTAAAACACAACTTATGATTGCATCAAATTTAATCCCATTCAATACTTCAATATCAATTGTGCTTTTTAAATTCATGAAAATTTCTGATTACTTTATAAATCATGACTCATATTAAATATCAATTCATGTTTAATTTATCAAGCAAATTTGCTTGATCTTCTGTTCTGCTACCTTAATGCTGCCTAATTCAAAATGTTTTTAATTCAACTTGTAAATACTTCATGATGGATGGGTTAGGGGCCGCTGCGCTGCCCAGGCACCCAATTTTGGATTAATAAAGTAAAGTAAAGTACTTATGTCATGCTATATCTTTTAAAATGCAAGTAAAAATAGTTAAATATTTGAAAAAATTACTTTGTAGTTATTTACCGTTTGTCTAATTATTTTGGCGTGTCCGGAGCAGTTGGCATCTCTGGAATCTATAGAAAGCATACATTTTACTACCATTTTAAATATAGAAATAAAACTGTACGCCAAATGCTTAAAAGTTGGCAGTTATGTGAATGGAAAAAGGGCCGTAAGGCCTCAGACTCCGAGTTCCACTACAACGACCGAAAGAACTAAATTTCAACCTAGTCAAAATATAAAATATATTTTTGTGTGAGAATGCTATTCGGTAATTATTTTACTACCAATTTTCAAAAAGAGTGAAAGTTGGTAGGTATGGAATTGTTAAAAGCTAATTTTATCTACAATTGCATTTCAATTATTCTTTCACTACTACTTGGGAAATACTTCCTCGCAAAGAGTAAAAGTTGCGTGTCTGGTATAGATAAGAGTCAAAGACGTAGTTTCGGCAAACTTTATTAGTCTCCAGCTGTCGGCGACAAATTAACTTGCAGAGGAATTAAAGCAATGCTAACTTTCATAATTTTCCCATTCAGTTTTACCTAGGATTCATAACCCAGGATCATTCTCAGAAAGAGTGAAAGTTGGAAGGAATGCAATAGTGAAAAGTTAATTTTATCTACAATTGCATTTCAATTAGTCTTTCACTACTACTTGAGAAATATTTCATCGGAAAGAGTAAAGAGTGTCTGGTATAGATAAGAGTTAAAGACGTAGTTTCGACAAACTTTATTAGTCTCCAGTTGTCGGGGCAAATAAACTAGTAGAGGAATTCTGGCAACGCTAAATTTCAAACTTTTCTCATTCAATTTAACCCAGGAATCGTACGGTAGTTAAAAAAAATTAAAAACTGGTGGTAAAATCAAGACAAAAAATTGTTTTTTATTATTTTCCCAGCGTGGTCAACTTTCTAAGCTTTTTGTAAAAATTTATGCTAGTGGTATCTAAGTTTATGTTTTAATGTATTATTGTTTATTCATTTAAACTTATTTTCCACAACAATTCATATAAATGATTTTAAAGTTCATATGCAAAGCCACTTTGTTTCAGCTTTCTCAGAATGAAGCTTTTATAATGTTGGCGAAATTACCAAAAATTCTGAAAGCTCTAGTTCTTAAATGTCTACCGCTCTATAAATATTTTACAAAAGAGGTAGAAGTTTTGCAGACCTGATTTTCGAAAACAGAACAATAATTTTATATTAAGTAATTATACCTAGATACGAAGTCTATGGATTTTAATTTTTTTGCATTAAATTGCAAGCTGAAACAGAGATTTGCAGCTTTTTACGAGGATAATTAATGCCAGTTTTTTTATTTTTTTAAGAAAAATGGGAACTCTGCATATTAGGCACCGAAGTTCTCATTTTAGCGATATGTTTTAATTTTCTAAAAAACAAAGATTGCTGAATTTTTCCTTCTGGTTTTCCAGGAAGATTTTATTTTTTATTCGTAAAACATTTATTTTGCATTTATATTTTATACTTCCAGTAAAATTTCGGCACTGATATTTAATTTTAGATTCAATAGATATGATTTGTAATTTTTTAACCCTCTATATATATATAAAATTTAAACATATATATCTAAGATCTATAAACTAATAATTGGAGCTTTAGGCACTGACAATTTAAAAAAAAGTTATTTTTAACAAGTACATACCTGCCAACTTAAAATACATGGAATAAATATTAAATAAGCATGAATTTTATAGCCAATTTACTATTAACCCTTTGACGCCGAATTTTTATTAAACAATCTTTTCATACTTTTTTTATTATTTTAATATCTGCCAACTTTCACTCTTTTCGAGAATGGATTTTCCAAGTGGTAGTTAAGCAATTACCGATAAACTTTCTTCCTCAAAAAAATATTTATATTTCAATTGGGTTGAAATTCGCTATCGTAAGGATTAATAAGCTTTTATATATTTGTTGTAATTATTTATATATAGTGGTGGTCAAACTGATGTAAAATTATTATTGTAATTCAAAACGTTTAGTGAAATAACATAAATTTCGCTAGCACTTTAAATATGAAAATAAAATCTTCCGGGAAAACCGGAAGAGTTGGCAGCTTTGTATTTTGTATTAATTTAGATCGGAATATGTGAAAAATATAATATTTATCTTTTTAGTATTTTACGTTTATGAGACACAGCACAGATGTTTTTTTTTTCGTGCTAAAAGAAAATCATCCAAACACGACTCATTTCCAAATAATAATTTTTCAAATTTGAATTTATCTGTAGTTATTTAGAACTAAAAAAAATAGTTATTCATCATTGAAATTTCTTAATTAATCATTGATTACTTTTGAGTACGAAGGAAAAAAAATTCAAATTACTTTTTTTGGATTTTATATTTTAGTACAAGTATGATTTGGATATTCTAAGAGATTTTTTTAGTAATCATTAGACTGTTTTGATTAAAAAATTACAAAACATGTTTTTGCTTGCAATTAGGGCAACAGAAAAAAAATATATAAAAGGGACACCGGTGGCCTATCAACGTAAAAAGGTTAACCTTTTGACGGAGAATAAAAAAAATTCAAAAAAGTGGCTTGAAGTTTTTTCTTTCTTCATTCATACTCAAAAATTCATCAATAATTGATTTTGTAAATTAAAGAAATTTCAATGATGAATTATTATTTCTCTTTGATCAAAATAACTGCAAATAAGTGCAAATTTAAAAAAAAATTTGTTTGGGAGTGAGCTGTGTGAGAAGATTATGCCTTTTACAAAAAAAAGAGACTTCAGTGTTTCTTGCTGTATTTCATAACCATAAACAATTAATTTGCAAAATATTATATTTTTCTCTAATTTTGACTTAAATTAATACAGAATAATTAAAAAAGTATGAAAAATATGATAGTTATAAATTCTGCGTCAAAGAGTTCGAGTTAAAATCTTCCAACATATCCGGTTGAATCTGCAGTTATGTATTTATCAGAGCTGTAAAACAAGAAAGAGAAAAAACTGGTAGTAAAACCATTTCATTTATAGCTATTTTTCGGGAGGAGTTAAACAAGCTATTACTAATTTTAGTTATAAACTATCCATTATGATTTACTTTCTCTTGGATTAAAAATAGTCCTATATGCATATTGTAACTGTTGTAAAAGTCTTGGTTGTAATGGTTATACATTCTTTCCAAAAGCAAGCTATAATGAAATGATTTTCTTACCATATTTTGCTCTCTTCCATCTTGATATCTGTAAAATTTCAACCCTCTCATTTATCCATTAAAAGCCATACTTTTGATATTAATTGATGGTATTGATTGATAGAATTAATAGTCGATCAATTAGCGATAACAATTTAACAGAAAAAAAAAGGAACAAAAGAATTTTTGCAGACTTTTTTTAAAAAAAGAAAAAAAAAGAGGCCATAGTACTCTCGTACTTAATAATACGCACACTTTAATACTTATTCGCGAAAAAAAACATTGATATGATACTTTGAAAAACTATTTTTAACTTTGAATAATTAAAGTAGATATAACTGTGATAAAATACATGTTTTGTTTCTGTTTCGCTAAGACAAACATTTACATAACTTTGTCATTGTTTTCCTTACATCTCAACACATTGCAACCTGTTCAATTTTCCATGAAATCAATACTCTGAGAATGCTGCAGAGTTTATTTACCAAAAGTCAGCAATATTTACCACAGACGTACATGATTCTTTCAATCTTTTCTGATCCCAGTCATTGATAATTCTTCGAAAAGATCAAATTTTGATATTTATTCTAAACGATGCTAAATTAGCAGAAATTTTAGCGACACTGTCGTCAGCATCCTGTATGATTGATTTTGTTTTGCAATCTACTTCTTTTCTGGAAGTACCTTACGTGAGCTATTCTAGGGGTTTAAATAGTGCCCTCTGAATGTTCGAAAACCAGATTCGATCAAGCTTCTCAGCAATCATGGGGCTGAGACTTCTAGCTTTAGCGTGCTTAGTGGGAGCTGCATTAGCTGGTAAGTTGTTAACATATTACCATTGGATTACGATCAAAAGGATTACTTTATCATTTCAAGGATATAAATTGAATTCATCATTTCTATCAACCGAATACAGTTGAATCAAAAGGATGATTAACTTTTAAATTATATCATTAAAATAAATTACTTATATTTAACAAAAAGTATTTCCTTAACTTTAAAATAAGTCAATATTAAATCAAAAGTATTACTTCATCATTTCACGCAAGTGAATGGAATCGGTTATTTCAGGCATTTAAATAAATTGAATCAAAAGGATGATTAACTTTTTATTTATATCATTAATATAATTTACTTATTTTTAACGAAGAGTATTTCCTTAAGGCTACAATAAGTCAATATTAAATCAAATGGATGATTATAAAATTTTAATTATATTGTTAAAATAAATTTTGTTCTCAGCAAAGAGTTTTTCCTTAATTTTAAAATAGGCCAATATTTAATCAAAAGGATTACTTTATCAATTCAAGCAATTGAATAGAATCGATTGTTTAGCAGTGGAATAAAATTAAATCAAAAGGATGATTAACTTTTTAATTATATCATTCATTAACTAATTCCTTTTATTTAAAAGCATAATTAAAGGCATAATTTTAATTCAAGCATTTATATATAATTTAATCGATTATTTTTCAATTATAAAATTAAATAATTAAATTTTTATCTAACTGTATTCCTTATGCTCTAAAATAAGGCAATGCAAATTAACATATAATTAAATATGCATTTAAAAATATATCAAGGACATTATAGGAATATATGTATAAGCTGTATTCTATAAGCTTCAAAGTAATATTTAAAAAAATGAATAGGAAGAAGAAACTTTTGGTCAATAAGTCGAAATATATAGTTTTAAATTTATCAAATTTTATTTAAAAATAAAACTAAGTCTTTGTAGGAATAGTTATATTCTAAATTGACAAATAACTCAACTTATTATCTAATGTTTCAGCTTTATAATTTAGGATATACTGAATTAGTTGTATATAGCATTTCTTCAATTTTATTAATTGTTTCACTATTATAATTGGATTTTTAATTAGATGATTAGATAGCAAGTTTCAACTACTTTTATTTATCGAAAAAACTAATAATAATTTATGTAAATAACAAATCAAAAAAATTATCACTTAATTATTTCATTACGCCATTAAATAGAAATATTAATTTTTTAAACTTAAGAAAGTCAAAGTGATTATTGTTTCTGAATTATGCATTCCCTTTATAATTGAATATATCATAACTTACATGCAAAAGATAATTGCTGAATATTTTAATCTTAATAATAAATAATTTGTAATATTAAATATACGCTCATTTAGATTAGTTATGTCAGCAATTTTAACTTGGGGTCTACAGAAAATTAAAATTTCCAAAAGCCAGGATAACTTTAGAGAAAATAGTCTTAAAATTATTCAGATTTTAGAAAAATTAGGTTACATTTTACAAAAATATTAGTCGCTACTCGGCTTTTTACTCACTTTGATGACACGCCACCTAGAATTTGTAGACCTTTGATTATAATACTGATTAAAAAACATGCTTAAAATGATACCAAGGATTATTAACTATATATAAAAACGTTATGTTTTCGATAAACTACAGATACATAATTTTTAATCTTTATGATTAATAATGTAAAATTATTTCTAAATAAATATGGACTGATGAAAAGTTCTTAATTCCTATATTTGTGAATATGTGAAAATTATTCTGCATGTGAATATGTGAAAATTATTCTGCATGTGAATACGTGATAATCATTTGTATGTGAATATGTGAAAATTATTATATATATGAATACATTTAAATTTTATTTGCAGGCCCACTCCCCCTTCAGGAGGGTCAGAGACAATGCGCTAAACAATGCTCACGAGGTAAGTATACTTTCTTACATAAATATGCAGTAATATGCATAACTTAAATATGCAGTACAATAAAAACAAAACAATTCACTTAAATCTTAAGTACAATGAAAAATATTCTTTTAAATCTAAAAGATTTTTATTGATGCTATATATTGGCCCAAACTTATATATAATAAAATAGAAATAATATAAAAATTTTTAAGAATTATTGCCCGAATGAATTTTTTATATAAAAATAAAAGATTTAAATTTTAGAGAAAATTAAGAGAGCAAATCAATTTCAATAATAAAAACTAAAAGCAAATAATAAAAATTAATGTTTCGAAATGATGATTAATGATTTGCTTCTTTTAAGTGATTAAAGAACATATGTTGGAAATAATAACTTTTCTTAAAAGTAAAAGTAATAATAATAAATAAGTAAATAAATAAACAAATAAATAAAATTAATGGGAAATTTGGCTTAAAACCAGGTATATATTTATTGAAAATTATTTGTTGCTAATAAATCCATCTTTTGAAATCTACCTAACATTACGAGATTCAGGTTTTATCTAAAACAAGTAACTATCCGCCATACTCCGTGCTTCTTCATATTTTTGTCATTATTTATATTAAGAATTTGTATATTAATTTGTGTATTGTAAACTTGTTATTCTTTCAGCATTAAACCAACCAAAATTCGGATATGAAATCGGCAAGACTTACACTTATGAATACCGAGGCGAAAATGTAGTATCTGCTACAGGAAAACCAAGGCAAAAGGCAACAATCGAAGGTTTAGCTGTTATTCACGTGGTAGACCAATGCGAGATGGTTCTCCAGGTACTTATAATTTTAACATTGTACTTATGATTTTAACATTGTACTTATAATTTTAACATTGTACTTTTAATTTCAATATTGTACTTATAATTTCAAGGTACTTATAATTTCAATAAAATTTTCATGTAAATAATAAATATAGAAACTTCATATATTTTCAAGTAACGACAAAGAATAATATTAAAAATTTATTTTATTCCTCATAAGTTAAAATTTGAAATATCTAATTTTCTTACATAAATATTATAGCTTATAACTTCATTACCATTTTGTTATTCAAATTAGGGCAATTTTAGTTTCATTGTTAGGTTATTGAATTATTTTTACTTAAAACTAAATATAATAGTAAATTATTTGTGCGCATTGCACCTTTTTAAACCTTTTTGCCCCTTTTATCATCTGTTTAATTTTTGCAATGAATACGGATCCAAATAAAGAGTTTTTTGGTTCAAAAAATTCTTATTAACAATAAGGATAAGTATTAATGCATAGCTGTAAAATTTAGAGCAAGTTACCTCATACTATTAGAAAAAATCAGAGAATAACATTTCATAAAATAACTTTTTTGGAATGTACAAAACTGCACTTACAAACAAATTTGAGATTTTGTATTATTACAATTTAATCATAAAATATAATTTCATGCTTTATTTGATCAGTCAATTAAAAAAAGAAATAATAAAATAGATAAGACATTAATGATTTAAATTTTTTAACTAGGGTACTATTTTGAATGAAATTTATATATTTTTTTTACCTACTTCATGATAATTTATATTCAAACATTTTCGATTAAATAAATTTTCCTTACCTAATAAAATACCTAATTTTGAAAAAAATTCTTTGATCATCATTGAAATCAATACCTGTAATTCCGATTACACATAGTTATGTTTAAATCCTTTGTTCCAAATTAATATCTTATTTTTAATTGCAGTTGAAAAACTTGAGAGTTTCGCAAAAACTATCACCTGAAGAAATTACTGAACTGACTCAAAAATTGGAGTTACCAGTACCATTTTCATTCAATGATGGTGCAGTTGAACAAGTATGTCCAAGCCAAGATGAAGATCTTCAATCTCTGAACATCAAAAAGGGATTGATTTCATCTTTCGTAAACACAATGTCAGAACTCAACAAACCCCAAGAAGTGAAAGAAGTGAGTTATCTTTACTTATACTTCACTTTACTTAACTGTAAATGTAAACTAGTGAGTTAAAATACTTATAAATATATAATTTTATTAATATATCTGTAAAAAATATTTTTTTAATATTCTTGTAAACAAAAATATACCCTACATAAGATGTATTCTATTCTACTAATATGCTTGCAAATATGTTCCAATCAATTAATAATCCTATAAATATATTTTTTAAAATTTAATCAGTTTTAAACCTTATTAAATTCCTCTAATATTTCTAAAACATATTTTATTTTGTTAATTTACCTATAAATATATTTTCTTTTGTTAGTTGTAACAAAGCTTGCATCGCTATACACAACGCAATAAGTAATTAGAAATTTAAACAAAATTAATAGTTTTATTCGTAGTTAATAGTTTAGTTTTATTTGTCTTTATTCATGACCTAAAATTAATACTTTACCTTCATTCCGAATTTGCTATATCAGTTTACTTGACAATTAAAAAACATAAAAAAATTAGCTTGATTTAAGATAATCTTTTTTTGATTTTAATCTTGATTTAAAGTTGCTATGATACAAAAAATAAAGTTTTTACGAACTAATTAAGTAAAATAAGTCTTTTTAAGAAATTTTGTAGCGTTTTTAAATACCTGGAAATAACATAATTACCAGATGAATTTTTTCCTTCATAATATTTTAAAAATTTGAACTCTTTAAAGACCACTAGAATATAGAATTCCATAAAAACTATAAGCAGGCATTCTATAGAATGTCATTAAAAACGGAGAAACAAAACAGACCTGATACATTGTTGGTAACATAGTATTACTAATATATAGTATTACTATACTTATAAAATTAATACTACGCTTATTATTTAACTATATAGAATATTTGTTTTTTATTTCAGTTCGACAGCTTAGGACACTGTATGACTAAATACACTGTTCAAGGATCAGAAATCCGAAAACAAAAGAGTTTGAAGTCATGTACTAACAGACATTCATCAGTCACCGCCATGATTACAAACCCATATGAAGCTTCTGACTCCGTAAGTTAGGACAATATTAACATGTTATTTAAAATTTAAACTTTAAATTAAACTCAATTAACATTAATTTAATTATTTGCTTTTTAGAAGATTCACACTCTTCCAGTATTCCCTGATGAGAAATTGGAGTGCACACAAATTGTTGAGAACAAAATTATCAAGAGTGTTCAATGCCAAGAGCATGCCCAAATCAAACCTCTGAGTCAAAAATCCAGTATCATTAAATTTGAAGGCCAAGTTGAACTTAATTTGTTAAGCACCAGTAATGACGACCAATTACGAACATGTAAGTTAAAAAAGTCATTTATTACTGTTATCATAATATGGTCATTTTAATTTTATTCATTTAGTTAAACTATTTCAGTTCTATCAGACAAACAAATTTAATGATCATTCAAAGTCAGACGAGAAAAAATTTCTTTTAATATAACTGCAAAATTGAGCAGAGCATTTAATCAAATAACAATTTCATAATAAGATAATTAAATTAAGATAATTAGATGCATTAAAAATCAATTACGCGTTAGTTTTTTTATTTTTTGTTTTTTCTTTACAGTCTGGCTTCTTTACAGAGATAATATTCAACGAAAAGAATATTTATACTGAGATTAAATGCTTACAATTATATCAAGATAGTATTTTTCATCAATTCAAGTATTGTTCCTGATTCTATACTTCAAATTAAATAAAACTTTAAGAATTAGTTTAATAATGAAATATTAGGAAACCTTTTGTTAGAAAAATGCTTTTTTTATATAAAATACTTTAAATCGAAATCAAATTTAATTTTTAATTTAATTTAAAAGTTTCTCTTGATCATTTTTAAGTTGATCAAGAGGATAAAAACTAATAAAGAATGTTGTAAAATTATTATTTTATATTCTTACATAATAAGTAAAATAAAATGCTGTTTTTTAAAAGATTAGAATGTAATTAAATTCTAACTTAAAACTATTTTCAGGGCACTCTAACTGGGCACAACAATCTCAGTCCGAATCTGAAGAAAGCCCAGAAGCTTCAAGCTCCAATTACCATGCTTCGGGGGCCAGACAATCCCAGCTCAACAATGCCCAAAACTCACAAGAATCAAGTAAAAAATGGCAACAATCAATTATGTTCAACTATGAGGAACCCAAAAGCGTCAAAAGCCAAGAAAGAGAAACTGAACAGTTATTGCGTCAAATGTGCTCCAAAAATGAACAATCAATGGACATCACCGTCAGCAAGGATTTCATCCAACTTGTCAGCCTTGTAAAGGATTTACCATACTCATCCTTGACACGAATCCACTCTTCATTGGAGTCTGGTCGATTGTGCTCATCAAGGAAAGTACAGTAAGTAAAATACCCTTAAAATTTGATCAACTTCATCGGATACAATTTCAATTGCTTAATACAATAAAGGACAATTAAGGAGCCTAAATTAAAAAAATACAAATGAAACCTTGATTATTAAAACCAACTTACTTACATTTTTAATGAATATATCTAAGTCATATAGAAGATTCCAACTTTCTTTGGTGCTAATGGTTAAGACCCACTTCTTCCAGTATAGATGAGATCGATTTATCGATGCCTGGATGAGTAGTATTCGTATATACTTAAAAAAAATAATTGCCATTGCCTAAATAAGGTGTGATTGACAGTGCCTCGATTAAATAAATTTTCCAATGTCTGGAACAGAAAAATTAAACATAATTGAATGTGAAAAGTTTGGCAGTTGGATGAAAGTTGTTATAACACATTTCGAAAAATTTGACTTCAAGAAAATTTTCTTAAGTATTTGAAAATAAAAGGTAAAGTAAATAAAATTTATTTTACAGTGACTTATTCGTGGACACCTTACCAATGGCTGGATCTGATGCTGCTATTAAACACATGGTAAAATTGTTGGAAAGCAAAGAGATAACTGGATTGAAAGCCAAGCTTTGGCCAGCATCTTTGGCTTTGATTCCAAATCCATCAAGGGAAGCTGTTTCTGAAGTTGTTGTAAGTATACTTTTGATTCAGTATGTTTTCAAACAAATCTGTATAAATGAATATTAAAAACAAATTCTCAAGGCATTTACTAAATAATAATTCAGATAATGCGAAAAACCAAAGATACACTTTTGATTAAATTTTTTATTACATTTTCAAAATTATAATAATTGGTTTAAGTTAGTTTAAATTTTTAAGAAAATATGAACTTTTCATTTTAGCCTTTGTTGCGAATGCAATCCTCAGAACAAGAATCAAGCCCACCATCTCCCGTTATATTGCTAGGAGTCTCCGCTATGGTCCACAGATTCTGTAGCGTGCATGATTGTGAAAAGGAAAGATCAGTTCAAGAAATCACTTCAATCTTAAACCAGCAAATGGGACGACAATGCTCCAACGAAAATGAAGCCCAGGTACTTAACAATTAATTATGAAATTTCAATGAAAGCTACATAATCGTTTTCAATTGTGCGATTCAATCTAATTATATAATTAAAAAGGAATATTCTCTTTTGTTATTATTTATAAGTTTTCTTTTCATTAGATTCTAGCTGCATTGAAAGCCTTTGGTAACATGGGACACCATGGAAATGCAGAACAAACCATTTTGGCATGTGCACAAGACAAGGACAAATCTGCTCGTTTGAGGTTGGCTGCCATTGATGCTTTCAGACGTATTACCCAGGTATATTTATTAGTTAATGTCAAAATAATTGTGTAAGCTTTTTGCTTTGATCTTTAAGATTCTAAACCAGTATTGTTCTTACAAATATGAAAATGCTAGGTAAATGAGGAGTAAGTTGATACTTGACAAATTTTCAACAATTTGAAATCTTCATATTTCAACGATAAGCAATATTTCTTGATTAAAACAACAATTGTTATTGTTCTATAGCTTAAAATTATTTAATTAATGACTATTGTAAAGTGAAATTTTTTAAAAAACACTTAAAATTATTAAAATTTTTCTTGTTATTGACAGAAACGACCTGAAAAGTTAGTTCAAATCTACAGAGATACTCAAGACAGTTCTGAAATCAGGATTGCTGCTTTCTCCAGTGTTATGAAGCAATGTGATGAACAGCAACTTAGAACCATCAAGCGAACTGTTGAACAAGAAAGGGATGTACAAGGTAATGTTTTAAATCCTAATTAAATTTGATACACTGTTCGAATAACTCGAACTTTTAACGAATTCAATAAAAATGAAATAACACAAAAACACTAATATTTCGAATTATTTTAGTATCTGCCTACGTTTCAAGCTACCTCAAGAACATGAAAACAACCTCATCTCCAATGAAGAAGAGTGTAAAACGGGCTTTGGAACAAGTTGAAATTAACCCACCGAAAGTCAGCTACTGGCAAAATTCCAAAAACATTGAATTCTCCTCCTTCAGTGAAACATTCAACATTGGAGGCTCTGTTGAAACTGACATTGTTCATTCACCAGAATCAAAGATTCCACAATCCGTAACCGCAAGGTTTGACGCTGATGTATTGAACAACAACATGAACATTTTTGAAGTAAGCATTGTCATGATATTGCTTGTTGAAGCAGCAAATTTATATTAGAGAACTTGCATTGAAGTTATGAACCATTTTTTTCTTTCAAGTGTAAAGCCTAATTTGAAAGGCTAATGCATGGCTTAAGCCATTAATAGTAAAAAAAAATTCCAAAAAATGAAATGTAAATAGCGAAAGCAACTTAACCATTTCAGTGGGGATCAGATATTTAACTTATTTGATAATAAGTAATATTATTAGATCAAAGACGTAATTTTCAAACTCATTCTCAAATGGGGACAAAGCCAGAATTAAATTAAACTGTAATTTTACCAATTTTCAAACCGTTAAAAACTTTTGGATAAAAACATGTTAAGCCACAATGCTTGAACAGTTAATAGTTTGTTGTAATCTAGATTGTGTGACACCATTTCTATTTTACCAGAAAAATGACACAATCATAATAATTACAACTTATGTATTGTTCATAAATCATTCGCATCTCTAATAAGATCCCGTGGGTCTGTGTCAAAAAGAGTTGTTTAAGTCATAACTTCAAGGCTTACTGAAAAATAATGAATTTTATAGGGTGATTTGCATACGTATTTGTTTTATACTATTATTATTTTAAATAAAATTATCTCGTTTTTTAACAGATTGGAGTCCGAGCTGAAGGTTTCGATGCCATCTTCAAGAACTTACTCGGGTTGAAGGATAAGATTCCAAAATCATCATCTCCTTGGGAACTCTTTAACTCAGAAAGCGTATGTTGAAATCATTTTGATGTAAATTTTCGTGCAAATTATTAGTTTATTATGACTAACAACTAAAATTTTAAATTTTATTTTAGGTTTTTGGAGGAGTTGAAGCTGAAGCATCTGCTTTCATCAGAACAATGAACACTGAAATCTTAGATATCTCTTCTTCTGATATGTCTGAAGTTGGAGAAATGATCAAAATTGCAGACCTAATGAACCAAGTAATAATTTGTTTCGTTTCAAGCTTTAATTTTGTTTATTACAGAACAAGTTACCTTTAATTCGTAAAAACCTTTCTGTAATCTAAAATCCAACTTCTAACATTTGAAAAGTTTTCTTTTTTTAACAATTTCCCATACTCAGTAAAATTCCATTTTATAATTTCTAGAAATATTTCAAAATGCATGAATTTGATAATTTTGTCTAAATTAGGTGATAAATTGAATATAAAAAATGAGCAAAATTGTAACCACAGGAAATTTCTTACATCAAAATAAGACTTTTTTTAATATTAAATATAGATTAGTTGTGAGCCATAATACTAGATAAATGCTTATTTTATTCCATCAATTATTGTAAAACAATTACAATTCTGTTCTAATATTTTCAGCTTGCTCAAGGCAAGAGTTCCGATTTCTCACAAAGCTTCCTTTTCCTGAATTCAAAGCTTATTATTCCCAGTGTAACAGGTAGATCATATTCTTTGGGAGTAACCGGAAGTGCTACTGTAGGACTTACAGCCACTACTAAATTAGATATCATGAGATTCCCACGAAACACTGATGCTCATGCACGTTTCCAACCAAGGTAAGTAATTAATCATGTGCTCCTAGTTCAACATAATATTTTCCTAAAAATGTACTCTACTTTCCATTATAACTGTTTATATAATTATTTAAATTTTAGCTTGAACGTTGAGCTGTCTACAACAGTTGGTATCCAGTCTAACCAGCATAGACCCGATATTAAATTGTCAACACGTATGCACTTGGAATCTAACTTGGAGGCTCAATTTAAAATTAGAGATGGACACTACGCTATTGCCAGTGTCACACTTCCAACTGAGAATGTTGTTCTAGCTAGAGTTAGGTAAGTTTCCACATAGAAATATCAATTTATAAAATAATTTTTGCGATATTAAGTTTTAAAAAGAAAACTGCGATGTCTCACTTACATTATGCAAGATCAATTTGCATTAGAATAGAAGCTAGCTGATCTTCCCAAAAATTATATATATTATAAACTTCATATTTATTAATAACAAAATGGCTTCTGAAATAAAAAAAACGACTCAATTTGGCAAACAAGACTGTCTATGAGCTGAGAAGATTTATTAAATCCATATGGAGAAATCTTCAGAAGAAGGCATTGGTCCACATTGGGCTGCCTGGGAAGATGTAATTTCACATTTTATGTTGCCGTTACTTTTAAAAATAGACATATCATCGATATATAATAAGGAAACACTGAATTTGCATTGTATATTAATGTCTTTTTGAGTAAAACTATTTGTTTCTTCAATAAGTGGTGAGTTTCAGTAGCATGTTGTATTTATTTCGCTTGGAGTTAATTTTTTATGAAATCTCTGTTCCAGCTCTGATATTGTTGAAGTTGATTCTCACCACCAAGAAAGACCAGTTTTTGAACAGATGCAGAAGAAGGTTGACTACTGCTTTGACAAACTGCAAAAACCATTGGGTGTTTCAATTTGCGGAATGTTGGAAGTTCCAAAACCTTTTGTGACCAGATCTTTCCCCTTTATTAACGCTGGTGTTGGAAGTATTGAATTTTCAATTAAGAAGACTGACCGTAATCTGAAATCATTTGAATTGAAATTGGAACGACCAAGACACGCCGTAAGTGCAAAATTTACAGATATAACATTTTATTTAGTTTTATAAAGATAAGCTTTTTTATTCAATAGTAATTGAGGACCATTTATTTCGAGTTCAAATAATTACATCATGTAATTCAGTACCTTTTACAAATATATATTTATAATTTAAAATATAGTAAATTTACATTGTATTATAATATTGAGAACTTTTAAAATTCGGAAGTCATTTACTTAAAAAAATATTGCCTTAAAAACTACGCAATATTAATGAACTTAAAATATGATTAGGCACCTGTTCAGAAGTTCAGAGCATCTTTTGACACTCCTGGATCCCAAGTTAATCGACGATTTGCTGCCGAGTTGGATGTAAAACGCCAAGGAGAAGATTACCAAGAATATTCTTTGCAATTGACATCTCCATTTAAGAACGCCGGTGGCTCAGGTACATTGATCTCGATTCATTTAATAACAAAAATGGTTTTAACTGAGTCAGTTGGTTAAAAAAAATGTTTGAATTTCGCAGGTTCACTCACTCTCAGACCAGAACTTCTTGATAGTGTTGTTGAAATTCACAGTGGATCATCACCATTGCTTTCATTCAAGGCTTCTTCTCAGATTTCTTCATCTCGTGCCAAGAAAGTGTTCAAGCCATCTGTACATCTCCAAATTGGAAGCAAATCACCTCTTCAAGTTGGTGGAGTCGTTTCTGTCACACACGGAAGAAAACAAGTAATTTCAATTGACATTCAAGCTAACAAGCCTAGTAGACGACCTATGTCTGTAAGAGGTACGTATTCAAGTTCAAACTAAGTAAAAGTTAATTATAACAAAATATATTTTGTAGTTAATAGAATTTCATAAAATTACTGATTTAACAAAGCACTTGATGTTCTTCAGTTAGTAATTAACTCCTTGGCACACTCAGTGACTTTTGAGGACGTTACCAAAAATGTATTTTAAAATCGTAGAAATTTGTTTATTTACATAAATTACTTTTGCATATTATTTTCTTCAAAATTTTATTTCCGTTTGTATGATATTGAAATCTTCATTATTTTCAAATTTGATTCTGCAATAGTTTATCAAAATGTCAAAAAAAAATTTTAAATTCGTTTAAATATTAGTTATTTAGTTTATTTGTTCCCAGTAATTATTTTAGTAAATAGAATTTTGATCCGCTTTTTAATCCTAATATATAAACTGGATTACTGAAAAAATTCGCACTATTCATCACTGAACTTATCAGAAACATAATAAACAATTGTGGATCATAGAAAAACTGGAATTTTAATCGAAATATCAAACTAAAAATACAAAATTATTAATTTTTTAGGTAGCATTACAAAAGAGGGAAGCATTGTTCTTTCTAAGAAATCCGAATGGAAAATAAGCTCTGATTTGTCTTTTGAAAGTAGCTTCTTTGAGAGTCAAGTCCGATCTATGCTTGAAAAACAATCAAAGCAAGCTGAAACCATATCTGCAAGCATTGAAACAGAATACAAGAGAGGATCTCAGAGGCATTCAATGTCATTTTCTGGTACTGCTCAACAGAGTTCATCTAAAATTAGTACAAACGCTCAATTCCAATCCACTCAATTCCCTTCTACAAGCTGGAGTTTGAAATGGGAAAGGCAAGGAAAACCACATCAGTCAATGAAAAATGATATTATTTTGAGGTATGGCCAAAACCAGGAACGCAGTTTCATTAGTGTTAAACAGAGTAGCCATGTTCCATCAAAAGGACAAGGAAAATGTAATGTTGTAGTTAAAGTGCCACAATTGAACATTGATAGTGAGCTGACAGTTACTCATGAATTATCATCATCAGAAAGTGCACACAAACTTCAATTGGAAGCAGATTTATGTTACAAAGAGGACAAACACATCAAGGGATTCTTACATTTTGACGCACCATCTGTTAAACCACTTAGAGCAAGCTCAGAAATCCAATTAGAATTGCCTTCTGGTAAACTGTCATATTCTAATGAAATTAGAGAAACAAGTTCTAGAAGATATGAAGGAAACACACAAATGCAATGGAAAGAAAGCAGACCAGTACAAGTTAAATACATCTATCAAGTTTTGAGTGACAGATCGAAATTGCATCATGAGCTTGACGCTTCACTTCAACTTCCTTCAAGGCAAAGTCCAATTCAAAGCAAATGCTCTTTAGAGGTTAGCAGACAGACTGTTAGGATTGATGGATCTTTGAGTTCCCGACGATCACCCGATTATACCATTCAGGCTGAACTTACTCCATCTGGAAGAAGTAGCTTGAGACTTCAAACACCAAAAGTTGATGGAGACTTGAAGATTCAAAATGAGCAACAGAAGAAAGCTTTTGATCTGGATCTTAGACTTAAGGGATCTCAATCAAGACGGGTAATTGCATCCACAAAAGTTCAGTTGGGACAGAAGAAATCTTTCGAAGTGGAAATGTCATGGGATGCTGATCGACAACCAGAAAAGAAAGTTTCTTTCACTTCAAAAGGAGAAGTTGCTAGCACCAGTTACTCTGTAAGTTCACAATTGCAAATAGCTGATTTACTAAGCTTATCTTTCACCGAATCTGGACAAAAATCTATTTTGGGTAACCACCAAGGCAGCGTAGAAGCCAGCATTAAAAACCATCAACCAATTCGTGTAGATTATAGCCATAAGTTATCCAACGGACAAAGTAAATGTCAGCTTAAATTCTCTAGGAATAATGTCGAAAAAGTTGAAGCAAAGTTGGAAATGAAGTCAATGAAATCTTCAAATGGACAAAACTTAGACATGAAAGCTTCCTTAACATCATTGGTTAATTCTTTCCAAACTAAAGAAATTGAAATTAGGCATTCGAGCCAAAAAAGTGGTTCATCAGTGGAAAGGCAAACTTCAATCCGTATCCAAAGATCTCCTAGTAAACAGTACAAAGCGGAATTAAGCTCCGAATCTCAACCCAAAGGAGTTCAAATTAGAGCACAGGTAAATACTCCTCATAAAATGTTTTCTCAACAAACTGCAGTTATGTCCTTCCAAAAATCAGACAGCTCTATTTCTTCAAGTTTAAGTATTGAGCTCCCAGAAAACAAATTGTTCTCCATCAGCTCTGAGATGCAAAAGCGAAGCCATGAAGCAAGCGCTACAGTAGTTGTCAAATCTCCATTTGAGTCAGCCCAAGAAATTAAAGTACATTTCGCAGTTGATAACCACAGAAGCATTAAAAGCTTTCTTTCTTATTTGGATGTGAACAGCGCTAGGTTAGCTGATGTGGAAGCAACCATGACCCAATCACCAAGTGAAACAAATCTGCGATGGCAACTGAAAGTTTCTCCATCTCCAAAGGTAAAATTCCAAGGATTGCGCATGTCTCTCAAGCAAACTAAATCGTCATTAGAACTTTCTGGAGAAGTTCAAATGCAAGGAGAAAAAACAATTACCATTTCTTCTCAAGTATCTAAGCAAAGATCTGGAATTTCTGCTTCTTTCAGCTTGAACACACCATTTAAAAGACTTCAAAGTATTAATACTTCTTTGATGCAATCTAAAAGTTCAGTACAGCTTGCAGGATCAGTTCGATACATGGAAGACAAAGAAATTTCAGTAAAATCTGAATTCGCAAAGGAAGCATCCAAACTTTCTGCAACATCAACTCTTTCAACTCCTTACAGTCTTAAAGATGCTAAAGCACATATTTCAATTGAAATGGAACCATCACAAAAAAGTCTCATTGCTTTCATTGATGCTAATGGACAACGAAAAGGAGATGTTGAAATCAGTTACTCTTCATCATTCAGTGGAATGGAACTGAAAAGCCGTATGAAAACAGCTCATTCTCAAGAGTTATCATCTCGCATCAAGTTGGAAAAAGATGAAAAATCATTCACCTTTCAAGCAAAGATGGTAAAAGGAGCATCGACTTTACTGTCATCCAGAAACAGACTACAATCAGAAAGCATGGAACAGACTCTATTAGATCTTCAAATCTCAAGACAACCCTCTTCCGACCCTAGAAGCAGCGATTTGTACAGCATGAGATTGTCTGGACCAGTAACACCCTTAACTCTAAGCATGTCAACATCTCGCATCCAGGGTAATGGACTATACATAGAGGCTAGTGCATGCCAAGAATCTCAAAGTAAATGTTATAAATTGAAAACAACACAAAAAACTCCAAAGAACTCTCAAAAATATCATCTTCATCAAGAACTGTCTGTAGAACTCGAAAAATTAACTGGCTCAAGAAGTGAAGTAGTTGGCACAGCCCACTTACTTGCAAGTGCAGAACAACGTGACTTCATATCAAAAATTACAGTTGAATTCCAAGGACAGACTCTTGGCTACGAAATCAGAGCTCACAAAAGAGTAAATGAAAATGACCACTGTACCATTGATGCCCACATCTTTAAACCAAGTGAAACATCTCGATTTAGAGCCAGTGTTTTGCACAGTCATGGCCGACTTTCCCTGGAAATTGAAGCTACTCCAGATTCTTCAGTTCCAAACAAAAAGTTTGCCCTGGAAATCCAAAGAGAACATAAAAACAAAAACGAATTGTCTGGATCCCTTAAATTGTCTTCCCCCAAAAGTGAAAAGGTACTTTTAAAGTTTTTCTCACTTTAAGAAAATATATATAAATTTAATAAATTTAAAAAAATATATAAATTTAAAATAAATAAAAACTGAAATAAAAAAAAATTCAACGCAGAAATAGCTGTACTTGAAATTAAAATACATAGCATTACTTCACTGAATTTAGAAAACTAATTCTTTCATACTTAATTATTCATTATCTGAAGGAAGTGTTATACGTTTTAAAAGTAACTTAATCCTCCAAATAATAGTTAATCAATCAATTAATGTCTTGAACAAATCAAAGATATTTACTATAATAATATCAAGTAATTAGTTATTGTAATATTAATTTGACAAATGTAAAAAAAGCATTAAGTATTTTATTGAAAACCTGGAATTACTTTATGCATCTTAAAATGATTAGAGATAATTGAACAGTTTCACTAATTTTTAAACTTAATTGTAGATCACAAAATCTTATGGGTTTAATAGAGTATGCAATTAAAAAATATTTTAACCTTTCAGCCAATCATTTTGACTGTCCAAATGCAGAAACAAGGTTTGATTCCAGTTCAAGGAAAATGGGTGCTCCAATACTCCTCTATCGAAGGATCAAGAACTCAACAAAAAGTTTGGACTTTAGAAGTTTCTTCTCATTTGCAACAAAGATCTCAAGGAAAGAAATTCCTTAACTACAAGCTTTACAATGCCGGTAAATAGATGTTTAATTTGTTAAATTATAATATATATTATTTGTGTTTTTAAATAGTTCATTGAACTTTCAGAATTTTAATTAGTAATTTTGCATTATAGATCGAAGTATAAGCGCTTCTCTTGAAATGAAAAAGGAGAGCTCCAGACTTCAAGATTCTTATGGATATGAATGGAGTTACCAGAAACAATCCAGTCTTAAGAAAGGAGGAGTTTCAATTAAGCTTTCTCAAAAAATGAACGGTCGACCTCAACATCTTGACATTACTGTAAGCCATACACCATGATTATTGAATTTATTTACATGAAATTGTAGTTATATTTGTTATTACAATAATTCTTCTTTTACAGTACTATACTCCAAATGTGGCTTTAGAAATTCAAGGACGAGCAACACAAGCACCACATGTTAAAATGTCACTCCGATCAACTGGACAAAAAACTAAAGAAGTTAAAATTGTATCAAACAATAACTGTGTTGAATTGCAAGTACTTGAATCAGGTATGTACATTGCAGAAAACTTTATCCTCTAAAAATACAATTACCAACTGCTCCGGATACGCCAAAATAATTAAAAAAACGGTAAATAACTACAAACTAAAATTCGCAATTTGAATAATTTAGCTAATTTTTTAAAAGGCTTAACATGACATAACTGTAATAAAGTGGTAAAATATGAGCCTACAAATTCTTTAGAAATAGTGGATAACAATCTAATAAATTGAATTTATTAAGCAAAGAATCACGATTAATAATTTACCACTCGAAAATATTTACAAACTGTTCGGAGCAAGTTGGAATCTCAGCAATTATTAATCTTCTTACTATAATTATTGCTATTATCTCTTTGCACTAATAAGTGCTTAGGCACTAATTGTATTCCTTTAAAACAGTTCTTTTCTTGACTTAAAGAAGATAAATAAAGTAATTCGTTCATGATACATATTGATTCTTACTAACAGTACCTAAAATTCTCACAGTAACAGGTCCTTATAAATAGTAATGCTCAATGATTAAAGTTAATACCATATGACAAAACATTCTTGTGCCCTATTATCATTACATTATTCAAAACTTAGCATTTATAATAGTTTTTTTTTTCAAATTTGAGGAAAGTTAAATAAGTAAAGATACACTAATGAAATATTAAAGATAATATTTGGAATATACCATACAATGATTACATATTTTGTAATTAACATCTTTTTCAGCTCCTATCTGGAAAAGCTCTCTTTGCGTCAATAAGCGAGTTGGAGAAACTTTGCAATTCGTAAGTGCTGATGCTTACTATCGTAGACACAAGAGTTTGGACTTCAGCGTTGGAATTGACCCTCAAACTGAATCTTTCATTACAATCCAAATGCAATGGGATAAAAAAGACATTGTTCGTGCTCTGGTAAGTTAGCTTATAATTTTACATCAAAAAAATAAACAATATGTTCTAAATTCTAACTATATAAACAATAGTTCATATATATTTTTAAGTGAGTTGTTTCCTTCAAGTCATTTATGAAATATTTTATATAAATAACTTGACAAATAATATGTATTCCCTATGCACTGAAATCAGCCTTCCCATTATTATTAAAAATTTTAAAAAATGATGGTGAAATTACCAACAATGTCCATTTTAATACATTTGTGACAAACACTAGACATAATTTGTTAAAGAAATTATGGCAATAATATGAAAAAATAGTTGAGAGCATAAGAGAAATGAGAGATGAGAAATATAGGAGAACATGAGAAAATATAAAGAAAATATGAGTATGAGAATTTGTCAAATTTATAAACGTTAAAGCTGTATGTAGAAAAAAACTTCTATCATTAATGAAAATTTATTACTAATGTTATAAATTTACAGGACCTGTAGAAACCCGTTAAAATGATTGTAAGATTCGAAGTTTTAGTGAAATTAGTGCAATCATAATTATTTACGAAAAATTTTATTGATATAAGTAAAACTTTTATTTTCAGGAGGAGGTTACTGGTTTAAATGAACTTCTGCAAGATCGTTCTTTGCAAGAATTAGAAGAGAAATTGAGACAGGAAATCGAAAAATTGAAAAACGATGTTATTATGCCCGTTTACAACGAAATTATGGATAAAATTAGACACTTGAAACAATTGCAGGAACAACGAGTCAGAAATCTGCTCGAACAACATCAAGAAATGTTGCAAGACCAAGTTAAACGATTCCAACAATATAAGGAGTCTATTGCTAGCTTGCTTGAATCAATCATGTAAGTATCTTGAATATGTCACGTAATTAACTGTGGAAGTGATAGCATATATCACGTAATTAACTGTGGAAGTGATTGCATATGTCACGTAATTAACTGTGGAAGTGATTGCATATGTCACGTAATTAACAATGGAAGTGATTGCATATGTCACGTAATTAACTGTGGAAGTATGGAACTATTTAATTGATGGCAATAAATTTATTAAAATCTGAAAGCAAAGAGATGAGAGTAAATCAGAGATGCCAACTTGCAGCGGGTACATATTTTCGAATGGTAGTCTTTTGATTCTCGGTTTAGTAAATTCTATTTGTGGGTATTTTACTCATCACTAATTCTAAATAACTCAAAACCTCATGTGATAATACACTTTTTACCGGTAAACCATGTTGAGTATTTTAAAAAGTAGGAAAAATTAACCGAAAATCTGAAAATTTTAGTTTGTAATTCTTTATCGTTTTTAAAAACATCTAGTCCAATCCGAAACAGTTGACATTTTTGAGTAAGCTTCAAAACTAAAATTTATCCTTAAGGTATTTATGCATAAAGTTAAAATAAAGTATCAGCTCAAAAAGTACTATCTTTAAGAATTGTTTATATAATTTCAAATCATCCTACTTTTTACTATCTTGTGATAAATGTTTCATTTATTTATTTGTAGACCCTGGGAGTACATTCACGACGAAGTACTTGTTCCTGTATATCAATCTTTGAAATGCGTAATGGATTCCTACTTGCAACTTGCAATGAAACACATCCCAGATATCTCTAGAATCATCATGGAAGCTACAAAAGAACAACTCGAATACTGTTTGAAGAAGTTCTGCGTTGCTGGAACCTTTTGCTACGATATCAGACGAGTATATGAACGTCAAGGACTGCAACAGGCTCAACAATTAACCATGCAAAAATTGATCAAAGTTCAGCAATCAATCCAGAAACAATGTTGGGAACAAATGGAGCAATGTAAGTGTAAATTAATAAATGTTTCTTAAATATATCTTGTAGGTTAAGATCTGTTATTTTCTTGAATAGTAAGTAGCAGTTTTAAAGTGACTTTAAACGTATTTCCTTTGCCTCAAATTCGATGCCGAATTTCATTCTTTTTGCACTAATTATTGATATTAATGATTTTGTTTGAACATTTTTCAAAGATTTGAAAGAGTTATGAACTCAATGAACATTTACCTACCAAGCATTACCTCATTAAATTGGTACCAAATTAGTTTTATAACTTCAAAATTCATACGCTCTTTAACCACGCCTCTTTTTCTAAGAACTCAACTGTTACACCTGTAATTGCATAAAATTATCTTCCAGCTAATGAATCGTTACTTTATTATTAGTATAATTTTACTGGTGTCGATTTACAAAACTGCATCAGGAATTACCTAAAACTCCACCTACTTAAAATGCAATAACTTATTTGGGACAAAAATAGTCCCCCTAAATGCAGCAACTAATTTGGGAAGGAGAGAGTATAATATATTATGTTGCATAAGTTTTACTAAACTGTGAAAGCGTCATTGACAAGATGGCGTCTTATTTCTTAATATGAATATGTTGTGAAAGTGTCATTGGATGATTACATCTTTCATGCCGATTTTCTAATTATTGTTCATACTTTCATACCTTTTTTTAACAGACAGACTCGTATAAGCATTCTTCTTTTGTTTTTCTTTATAGCAAAGCTGAAAAGGTTTAAAATGACAGTATAAGTTAAAATCTAATAAAAAGAATATGCTTTTTTAATTCAAAAATGTAACATGCCTTTAAAATAAAAGTATCCTTAACAATTGCTCATGAACCACGCTTATGTAAGTTTTTCTCCAACTTAGCGATATTCAATATATGTATTTTTTACAGGGATTCCTGAATACAGTCAAAAACTTGCTGAAAGCATTGAAAAGTATGCACAAAATGTCGAGGAGATTATCAAGACAATCATTGAATCTGAAGCCTTTGCAAAAGTAATTGAATACAGTAAGATAGTCAGTGAAAAAGTTTTCCACTATAGCACTGTAGCCGCTGAAAAAGTTCTTATCAAGCTGGGCAAAATTTTCCACATTATTAGCGAAGATGAAGATTTCCAAACTATTCGATCTATGACTAAGTTTATGACTGAAGGTGTTGAGAACCAGGTATTAATCACATCTTTCTGTTTTACATAGAAATATTTGCTATAGAATATCAGCTACGTAGTATTTTCGCCTAATTAATCACATTAATATTTGTATTGCATCTTTAAGCGGTTAATATCATCGATTCTTATTTATTTCAATATTTATTATTATAAATTATATTTATTTTAATCATTTTAAGTTTTTAATTATGTTAATTTATAATTAATATAGGTAAAGAGCATGTGGCAGAACAGGGAAAGCTATGTGAGACAGCTTAAAAACATTATGAGAAAAGTATGGGAACTCAAAGACGAACTGAAATCCCAACTGAAGAGCCAATGGGAAAACAGGGATGAATACAAAAGAAAAATCCGAAGCGTATGGGAAGAATGCAAAAGAAAAATTCAAAAAGTATGGGAAAACAGGGACAATTATCTCAGAAAGCTGAAAAATGCATGGGAAAACAAGGAAAAACATCTCAGAAAATTACAAAATGCATGGGAAGACAAAGAATCTTTTGTCAAGCAAGAATTGGTCCCTCTGAAGCAAAGTTTAATGAGCAAAAGCAAGGAATTGATGCAAGGTCGATTAGAAGTCCCACAATTTGATCTTCAACAAGGAAACATCAAGGTTTTAGTTCGTCACCCCCTTACACAAAGCCACATCCAAGTAGTGCAAAACGTATTGAGAGCTTGCCAACGTAAGTAAAAATTGAACTCAATTTTGTTTAGAATAGTTTTGTTTTGAACTCAATTTGTTTGTTTTGTTACTCTATTTCGTTCAATTTTGTTTCAACTTTTATCCATTTATTGCCAGTTGGTTGTTTTCATCTAGGGGGAAAATAGCGAATTCTTTAAAAAAATGTTCAATAAATTTTAAAATATAAAAAATATATATTTGTTTTTTATACGGAGTCAATTCTTTATAACATGATAGATAATATTACAAAATTAAAAGCTTTAATCGAGTTTAAGTTTCTCCAACTGAAACAATTTTTCTAAGTGAAAGAGTATTAACTAAAAAGACTTAAAAGCCTTATGAATGGTGGAATTAGAGTTGAGTAAAGTTTAATAGTCAAGTAGATTTTAATAATTATTATAATTAAAATATGTATAGGTCTGATTTTACTTGTTAGCTTAATTTCCTAATTTCATATTTTTTTCTGATGGAATTTATCACTTCATTTGAAAATAGGACTTTAAGATTTTAACTATAATTTTGCTTTTACTAATTATTCTTTTCTTTCTTTTCCAGAAAAAATGCAGCAACTTATTAGTCAACCTTGATCATAAATGGACTTTTATTTAATATATGTGTGTGTCTTATTTAATTGCCGATTTTTAAATTATTAAAATTATTTATAAAGTGTAAAAATTGAACATAGGTGTCCAATAAATGTTTCAAAGCTATAAATGTCTTTGTCTTCTTTATTACTTTTACGATGAAAAAGCTGAGAAATAAGCGAGTTTCTGAAATAGTTGTATGTTTAACCTCATCGAAACGGGCGAGTCATATATGCATACCTGCCAACTTTTACGCATTTGGCGTAAAATTTTATTTTTATATTTAAAGTGGTAGTAAATATATACTATTTTTTCTTTTATAAACTTAATTTTTCAATGATTTTGATCACCACTATTCTTAAAAAATTAAGCACATATATCAGTATGAAGTTACTATCATGGCTGTAGTACCACAGGGTAGCATTCTGGGACCGATATTATACATATTATACACTTACGATTTTCCTATAAACAAAGCCGATTATAACAGCATAACAGCCTATTACGCAGACGATACCGGTATTATTATTAAATCCAGAAACCCAAATCATGCTCTTCAAAAACTACAAGACCATATAGACGAAATAGAAGACTGGTGCTTAAAATGGAAAACTGCAGTAAATGCTGGAAAATCACAAATATTAATTATACAAAAAAGAAGAATTAAAATACTTCCACAACTTCAACCAAAAATGTTCAACATACCAATACCAATAGTTAAAAAAGCAAATTATCTTGGCCTTATAATCAATAGCAAACTCACCTGGAATGATCACATCAAAAGCACAATAGATAAAGCAAATGCAGCAATAATAGCCATACAACCATTAATATATAATCAGAATATGTCACTTAAACTAAAGAAGCTACTATATACAGCAATGATCCGCCCAATACTTACCTATGCCTCACCTGCCTGGACAACGATACCTCAACATCTACTGAAGAAATTAAACCAATGCCAAAACAAGATCCTTAGAAAAATAACCTGTGCAAGATGGTTCATCCGGAATACCAATATACATGCAGACCTCAAAATACCAACTCTATCACAGCATATATACAAGCTAAACGCAGATTTTTTCGATAAAGCCATAGAATGTAAAACAGCAAATTTTAATGAAATCTTTAAATTTGAAAATTATATCAAAGATAAAAACTACAGACCAATAGCTGCACATTTCACCTCCGACGCCTCATATCATAACTATCAAAACAAATAATTTCATCAACCTTTCTGAAAATAACGTTTACTCATGCTGATACAATTCTGAACAACTCCAAAATCAAACAAACACAGTTAAGAGCAAGCTGCTCAATTTATTTTTGATTCCTTTTTAGTTATCCAAGCAAAGAGCTTGAAACATTCATAAAAGCAACTCCAGTGCCTGCTTACCTCATTGCTCAACCAAAACTGTTCAAAAATTCCAGATGAATGGGATAGGGGTCGCTTCGCGGCCCAGGTGCCCAATAAAATCTAAACACTAGGACTAGGATCATGGCTGTCAACTTAAGTTTTTGCAAACAGAACTTATTTTTTTGTTTAAAATTGAAATTTTAATTCCATTTTAATACCAGTGGGAAAAATGATAATGGAAGGGATTAGAAGTTGGCAGGTATGTATATGCATTCTCAGGGTGTCTATAACAGAGATGCCAACTTGCTCCGGACAGCAAATATATATTTTGAAGTGGCAGTTTTTCAACTGTGATTCTTGGTTTAATAAATTCAATTTTGTAGATTTTTATCCACCACTATTTCTAAATAATTCGTAGGTTTATGTAATTCACCATTTTACACTACTTATGTCATGCTATACCTTTTAGAAAGCAAGCAAAAATCGTCAATTATTTCAAAAACTTACTGTGCTGTTATTTACCGTTTTTTTAATTATTTTGGCGTGTCCGGAGCAGTTGGCATCTCTGCTATAATCAGAGTAAAAAGAAAATAAAACTGGTAGCTAAACTATTTTTACAGCAGTTTATTTGTGGGCGGGGTAATAATAGTTTGTTTTATTTAACTTGTAACTACTTAATTCGAATTAAAAAATGTATAAATACACTTCTGACAGGATTGGATGTGTTAGATTTAAAGTAAAAGCAAAAATAAGTCTGTCAAAGTAGCTATGCCCAAACTTAAGCTACCGCTTTTTATTTTTCACTATCATGATTCTGATTCCGTACGAATGCATTCATGACTCACCCGCCTCGAAAAAGTTTAAGCTATAAAAGGATTAAGGCAAGCAACGTTAAAGAAAACAAAAATATTTATAAAATACAGACAACTGTTTCGGATGCTCAAAAGGCAACCTTCATCAGTGCAACAGTAAGAATTTAACACAAAGGTCACCCACTTGTGTATTTATAAAAGGGTTATAAAAATTTCTTCTTCAGTTCATTACCACTAGGAGATATACACCAAAGAGCCATTGCATTATGACCACCCTCTATCTATAACAATGGGCTCGCCCAGGTTTTCATGGGGCACATTAGGATCCATAATCCTCATAGGACAATCCCTGACGTTTGTAAGCTACTTGAACATAGTTGCAGACCAGGTTCCCCCATTCATGACTACAGTTTTTCCTGCAGGGATGGTGTTTACCAACAGGATAATGGACCATGTCATAAGGGTCGAATCGTCGATGAGCATTCCAGTGACTTTCAAGTCATGTCTTAGCCCCCAAATTCGCCTGACCTTAATCCAATAGAGCATTTGTGGTCCTACTTGAAAAACCAAATTCGTGCTGCCACGCTATTCCTTCGTAATGTGAGGGAATTGCAGAACCAGTTGGTGAGCGCTTGGTACCAGATACCTCAGACTACCTATCAGCACCTTGTGGAATCAATGCCAAGGCCGGTGCTAGCAGTTTTGAGGGCTAAAGGTGGTCCTACATGTTATTAGCAGGGTGGTCATAATGTAATGTCTCTTCGGTGTATTTCGCACTTGCAGCAATTGGTGGAAGCTATGCAATATATAGCAATTGGCGTTACAATTGCAAGAAGGAATAATTTTGACTATGCAAACACAATTAATAGTTTAAAAGAATTTCGTTATGAATTTATATATTTTTTCAATTATTAATATGATAGTGATAATCAAAGTCATTATGAAACAACTTTGTTAAGCCTAGATAAAAATTACTGCACATGCATTTTGGTATCACTTAAAATATAAAAAAATCACTTGCATAAATCGGGATATTCGGCTCATAATGGAAATAATTTTGCAGAAAATAACGGAATAAAATTGAGGAACTATCTTTAATAAATTTCTTCTTTTTTTTAAAAAAAATCATTGTAATTTTGCACTTATTAATGATCCGCACTCCTTAATACTTATTCATAAAAAACACTGATTTGAGGCTTAAAAACAAACTATTTTTAGCTCTGAATAATAAAACCAGATGTAACTAGATAAAAGAAATGTTTTGTTATGGTTTCGCTAAAACAAACATTTACAGATCAAATTTTGATATAAACACAAAGTGCCATTCGATTTGAAGAAATTTCCGCAACTATTTCGTCTGTGTCCTGTATGATTGATTTCGTATTGCATTCTACCTACATTAGGCTAGCTTTTCTAAGTGTTTCAATCGTTAAAATAGGCTAATTAATAAGTGCAGACGATATTTCAAGTTACGAAATCAGACAAATAAACAAACCTTCTTTTCGACGAATACGGATTTCTGACCACTAAAATATGGGGGGTAGCTTTCTATCTGAGAAATATGGTCCCAATAGTTTGGTTAGGATTTAATGTGAAAAAATAACTCTTGAAACCAAATTTCAAGAAATTCTAACAACTAATACGTTGAATGCCACTATAATTTTACATGGCTTGCTCGTCTGGCCACACGGTAAATAACTACAACTAAATTTGCAAATATAGACAGATTTTGCTAGTTTATAAAAGATTTAGCATGACATATCTGAAAAAAGTGGTGAATTATACGTGCCTACGAATTGTTTAAAAATAGTGGTGGATAAAAATCTACTAAATTGAATTTATTAAACGAAGAATCACAATAATTAAGTAAATTTTGAATAAATTTTCAGCAATTCCATGAAAGAGTGTAAATTTTATAGTTCTATATCATGTTATACGATGTCTGCCAGCTGTTTTTCGCTGCCTATGTGAAGGGTCAGTGTCAGCAAGCGGTGGCAGACGCAGCCTAAATGTAATTTCAGTGTCAGCCACCGGTGGTTGACGCGGCATAAATGTCATTTCAGTGTCAGCCACAGGTGGTTGACGCGGCCTAAATGTAATTTCAATGTCAGCCATCGGTGGTTGACGTGGACTAAATGTAATTTCAGTGTCAGCCACAGGTGGCTAACGCGGCATAAATGGAAAGTCCAGTGTCAGCCACCGATGGCTGACGCAGTGCTCAACGTGTTAAGGGGGCATACAAACACAAATGAATAATTGGCTTAAAAATAAAAGAAAAAAATTTGGCATTGGTAGAAACAGCAAAGCATTACTTAGGAATTGCACTGTCTTTAATTAATAAATGGCATAAACTTACTCTTACGTACATTGAAGTAAATGTGACCCAAATTTCAAAATAAATGAAAAGTGGTAACAGGATCTTCAACGTTATTCATTGAGTAAACTTGTCAACACACTCAGATAAATTAATCTGACCCCCGATTAATGAATTAAATAAAAAGTGGTAGCATGATATTTTAGGTTATTCATAGCATAAATCTATCAATCCACCCAATGAAGTATATCTGACCTCTGATTAATAATATAAATAAATCGTAATGTAAAGATTTCCTTTCCTCAAAGGAAAAAAAAACTATTTTACTTTCTTTCCTGGCTGTTGAATTCAAATGGGCTGAACGCTCTTGCTTTATTAAACATTCTATTCCCGAGGAGTTTCTACTTTTTTTTTGTTTTTTTTTTGTATTCATTTAAATCATTCGAATTAAAAAATAATGCTTGATAATAGGAATTTTTTTTTTCGGTCTTAAAAGAAATATGCTCTTAATGCACCGAAATTAATCTTCACAAGGTTGATCCCGCATCCATTAAATTATTAAAAAAGATAAAAAATATAAAGATAATAATAAGAGATAAAGATAATAGATAATAATTATAAATAAAAGATAAAGATAATAATTATTT